CATTACTGCAACATAAACGTATCAGACAAAACGGATAGGTTGTGATGTTAATAAGGTGCGAGAGGTGAAATACGACGTTAATGCTGTAGAGTAATTGTTTTGCGTCAGTGATTTCTCTTCCGGTATTTGGTGATACCCGGGTACGCTGAGTGATACTCACGATTCTAGGAGTTCCCAAGAAAATACCAGGAGCACAAAGCACCCGACGTAGATAAACGTTCAGTCTGGTGCAAATGGATCTTTTTTCCCACTGGAAGCTCCTCAGTTTCGCCGTCTTGTTCTTTGGCAATGATGTACACCCTGACATTCAGACTCCGTAGAACCACTGTTTTCTGAAAGTACACAGCTTTTCTGTCATGGAGAGAAACAGGTTCGGGCAATGGAGATAGCTAAGCTGAAGTGGGAAGTAAGAACAGGCGTGAACTCGATCTTGGTACATGAGACACCCAGAGCCTTTAAGGAGGCTGTAAACAGCCTTGACATATGCTCATGCTCCATGCTTGTTCGGAGGCCAGCATCCCTAATACACATCATTTGGACGGATGTGTCACGTGCAGGACACGGGCCAAACGAAGGCGTGCCCTGATTGGTTAGAATGCCAGCCAATCCGGACCGAGCATCCTTGACTGGACGCTTCTCGCCCCCTCACGGTGCTTCTAGCACGACCTTGTGGAACACCCTGTGATTACCCCATAAATACAGATGTAATGGTTCTCCTTTTGTCTCCATAAAGGGCTGTGCAGAGCTGCCGTGGGCGGAGCAGGAAGCCAAGGGACGGATACTGAATTGCACTACCGTCCAGCAAGTTACAATAATGCTCCACACACAGAAAATACTTTACGGTAAACTGTATTGCGTCGAACGGACATGCTTAAGCAAGACTGGTTCCGTTCCGCAGCTAGAAACCTTAAGAATGACCTCAAATACTCTAATGCAGGGAGTAGTCGGTATTAGCTGGCGTCTATAAAAAAACAAGGAATTACCTCGGATCAGCCACATATCAGTTAAGCCACTCCAGCAATCATCGATTCCCGCGCCTTTCCTTTTTGGCGCCGTACAAATAAATAATCAACTGTAAGTCTGAGTCGTCCCCATTAAAGACCAAAAACTTATCCAGTCCACTTTTCTTTTGTACTATTCGACTGTTAAACTGAGCGGAAGAAGCTCGGTAACGTGGGTGACCGGAAGGTCTGTGGTTCGGACCCGAGCTCTGCCTCTCGACTTCCTCTGTCTAGGCTTGGGCAACCTGGCATTATCCCAGCCCTCGTGCAACTTTCGGGTGGTATGGCAGTCAGGCACCGAAAGGGTCCTACGCTGAAAGGTTTTTTTCCATCCATGTACTTTTGAGCTCCACTTGTTTTGCTCATCTAAACCCGTCATTAACCTTGCCGCATGTCTGCTTGTGAATGTGCCCGGCTGATCTACTTACCATATCGTGCTCGTTTGTTGAGCCTACCCTGTAATGTTCTGTCGTGATTCCCGTGTAACCGCACTGCAACACAAAATCACGAGACTGTTCTCAGGAAGACCGCAGCTGCAGAGCCAACATTCCGCTCGACTTTGTTCGGAGTGCGGACCTTGACACTGCACTGTGCCGGTCAGTGGCAGACTTGTGCACGTGTTGACACCACGACCGGGGACAGCTGATGTGTGCTGCGTAACTGTGCTTGCTTTTGAGTTAACGGTACTGTAGACTTTCGAACCCAATTCTCCTTTTTGATATTCGGAATCATCAGACCTACTCATGACTCGAAGTTTCGTATCGGGAACGTCAACAACAGAGCTCTTCCTCCATAGTTCGGCCTCCAGGTTATACTGTGGGTGACTATAGCTAAGTATGTTTGTTCATAGCCACACCACTCTTGTTTGAACGGCCGTGTTCTTGTTTTGGCGTAAGTATTCCGGTGGGTCCACACCAAAGGGAAGCACTGAACTCGAGTTTCGCTCTTATTAGAGCTCATCAGCAGTGCATATCCAATGGCCGTGCCGGGATTTGAACCCCGGATATCTGACATGCGAGGCGAGCGTGTAACCACTACTCCACCAACGCACGCTGGGTGCATCTGAATTATCACATCCGAACAGGCGAACGTGTTCACACTTGAGCGATGTGATTGGTGTGCCCGACTCATCGAACGACGACCCAGTAACTGTCCTGGTTGTGACTAAGTAAACCGTCATACAATGGTCCCTTGTTCAGTTGATTGAAAAGGAGGCAAGATTATCGGTGCATAATAGGCTTGCGAACCCATGGTTCGACAAAATTTCGGAAATGTGCGCCAAGAACCAGTAGGATGTATCATCGCAAGTGAAAGATATTTTCCATAGCTACTATCAACTCATTTCTTTAAAAGCTGGACATTACACAACACTAATGGCCCGGTTCAAAGACGGATACGGATGCTCGATGAGTACTGCCCTTAAGGTCAGATGATGCAGGATGATGGAGTGTCGTTGGGCCGGTTCATCTCTAAACCCTCCGTCTGAATAGCACTCACCGGCGTCGCCTTTAGTTATCTGAAAAAACTGGTGCCTGAACCACCAAAGGACGCCTAGCCCCGTTTGTTGAAAACCTATTACGATTTTTGAATCACATACCAGAAAAACCTTAGTTCTCTTGAGTATTCCTAGTGACACTTTTTCCCTTGTTCAAGAATGGAGCACAATTTAATACTTCGTAAAAATCCGGATATTGAACTTCGTTTTTTTCACTAAACAGTCGTCTTTGACCACGGCACAACCTACCGGACTACATAGCTGTGGACTACATAGCTGGTGATTCTGTTATCAGATACTTACTTTACCACCGAGGTCTTCCAATGAGGCCTCGTTCCACCGAGCTACTAGTGTAACGGTGATACTACTGATCGGGAGGCACGCGAGTAGTATGTGTTGTTTGTGGAATCTCGTTTTGCGTTGATGGAAAAAGGGAACTCTTTGCGGAATTCGTGGGGCCACTTTGTAACATTTGCTTGGATTTGACCGACGAATGAGTGGAGGCAACTAATCTCTAAGAAAACTCGTTCGGGAGAAGATCTGTGTCCAGTTTTTGGAACTAAGATGCAGATTAGAGTTTCGCTTCCCTGTTCAATGGTCTGTAACCGGTCAGTCGGCATTTCCGAACAGATAACTTCGCATCGAAGGCCTTCTTCCTTTCACTAGGAATTTGTCAACATTTTTAGCATAAAGTATCTGGACTGGATGAAAAACCTCGATGTATTAGGGTAATTTATGATCTCTCTTTCACCTATTAGAAACTTGGAACTGCAACCCAAAGGAGCTATGAACTACATACCAAAAAACGGACATCTGTTCATCAAATTAACTCGGATTACCAACGAAACGGTTCGTAGGAGAAGGTTAGAAGGGAAAATTGATTGTGCTAGCGCTTACCACGCCTTGAAGAGTATTAACCATTGTTTGTCCTTTTTTCGGTCGTTGGTCTTTACACGCGCGTTTCCATACCAAAAATTTTACACATTGGGATTCATCTCATCTGGCTGGAACTGTTGGTGACGTGAATTCGAAAGAAACGTTTCTCTTTTTATTACATATTCCCCTGTCACCCTTTCGCATTCGCCGCTTGCATTCACTTTTTATGTTTGTGACCATGCTCTTCAAAATTAGATGATAATTATATGGAGGGCAGAAGGCTTTTTGAGGAGAACGGTACTCGAATGCTTGTGAATACATCTCGAAATCTGTGCTCGAACCTACGGAGTTAAAGCTGGTTACCTCAAAGTTGCTTATGTTAAAACTCAGGGGCGCAGGGTTACGTTGGAGAGTTTTCCCGAACAGAATGAACATCAAATTGTACCGGAATATTGGTAGCTCAGGTGCGTTTATTGATGGTGACTGAGGTGACCGTTGATCTGTTCGCAAAGCTTGGCAGTTAGCTTGCAAGCTTGCAGAGAACACATACACTCACGAAAAATAGCTAAACTACCAGGAGATATCATGGCACATCCCATCGGTTCTTGAAAATGTCAACCTTGTTCGCAGGATCAAATTACTGCGCCCACGTGTCAACTGGACACTGCTGGTCACAGGTGCTTATAACAATAATAGTAGATTCTTAGGGCAGCTTGACCCATTCTTCTGATCCTGGACAATTTGATCCAAATTTCCGGTTTCACAGCCCGTCCACTCGATCCGTGGATGCAAGCGCCACATATCACATTTTGAGTACCCACCTGAGTGAATCGATGGGATTAAACTGATAGTTAGAGCGGAAACACGAAACGAATGCACGGTTTTCTAGTAGCTTGCCATTTCCTTGGGTGCAAACTTTGTATGAACCTAATTGTAGTCTTTCAGTTTGTTTTTCTATCACCTAAAACCTGATTGCAGTGAAGTGGAGTTCCATGAAATCATTCTAGGATATACTCAAGAAGTAGTCTTAAACTGACAGAGAGGTGATACGTCTTCACACTCGGACAGGATTCACTGTAAAGCACTTTCGGTGTACTCACGTAGTAATTAATTCTTTTCTCCACATTAAAACTCGATTTTATCGTGCAATTTGTAGAGTTTCGAGAAGTCGCGATTCAATATAATTATATTTTATCCAGAGTTTTCAGAGTTTTCAACAAACTCATGAGTAGTGCATTACAAATATATACGTATCGCAATATCTCGAATATCGTAGCAACTGAAACATGAGGTGGCCTGGCGAAGCACATTCAGTTGCCTGAAAACATCACAAACGAGAGATTCAGCTGGGTTCCAGGTGAGTCTCTCGAAAGAACCAAATTAGTTTGCAAATGAGTGTATATTCGCTAATTTCATGCAATTTGGTTTCAAGTAGAACATAAGGTTGACGGAAACCCGGAGACTGCGCCTACCTAATGAGCCCCAAGAAGGGCGAAACCGGTCGTGGGCTGTTGACGGATTTTCAGCAACCTTATGAGTAGTACATTACAAAGATATACATGTATCGCAATATCTCGACTGAAAGATGAGGCGGCCTGATGCAGCACATTCAGTTGCCTGGAGACTTCAAAACCGGGAGATCCATCTGGGTTCCGAGTGAGTCTCTCACAAAACCAAATTTGCTTGCAAATGAGTGTATTTCGCTATATTTTTTCAGTTTCAGTCTATCACTCCAGTGGCCAAGCACATGCCAACTATCTTCCCGAGATGGAAAAATGTGTCAGGCAGAGTACAGGGGTTGAGGCAACTGGTGTTTCTAAAGCTCTGGAACTCGGATTTCACTCCTGAACTTGTCAGTAGTTTCCAGCTGAAGGATAAATTGATATGTACGAAACTCTCGTATGCTCAGTTCTGGCACCACGAATTGGTCACAAAAGCAGTGAAAATATGGAGACAAACTGAGCTGGCCAAACCACCGGGGGAGGAGTTCCATATCATCAAATAAATCACTGAATACACGACCGAAAACGCTCAAAAAGCAATGGTATCCTCCAGATTATCTACTAGATACCGTGAAATCGATCACGAGATGTGCGCTTTCGTTTATCATAGATCGCTGATTGGAATGCGGTTAAAATAACTCCTTAGTCCTCTGATTTACACCTCTTTGGATTGGCGGTCAACGGGACAGCAATTTGTAGTTGTTTACACTTATCTGACCTTGTCACATAAAGATGGATTAGGTTTTTCTATTGATTGTATTTAAGCGCCAGCTTCTAACTGTGTTTCTGGGTTCCACTGGGTACTCCGCAACATGACACCAGGTTAGTTGGGACATCTATATCAGGCCGTCATTCAGCTGGTTTCGAATATGGATCTATGGATTAGACATTTAGCGTCTGAGGCTAGTTTATCGTCACCTTCGTAATTCAGCTCCGCAAGTAACACATTCTGTTCAAAGCTGTTTACCTATCCATTCTGGTCTATTCAATACTCTGCTTGATTCCACTGACGAATCAGTAGATGTCGGGCGTATTGTGCTGAATTCGGACAGGCTGTGTGCTTCTTTGCACCCGTCGATTTGGTTTGCGATGACTACACTTATTATGAGAGTAGGCTGAAGAAAATTTGTATTACTCTTGCTCAATGCTTGAAGCGAAACTACTGCGAAAGCCGTCTTCTTCGTCTCCTAATCAGGCTGACGAGCACCCGAGAGTTGGCTGCTGAACAGCTGATCAGCTGATCGGTGACAGCCGATCGATACCTAGTCAACACAATGGTGTGTACGACTGATGGAGCGTGCGAGCAGCCTCCGGTCTAGTGTCCAAGTTCCGCCCACGCATCTGATGGAAGGTGAAGTTTTTGTTTGTACAAGGTGAAGTTTATTACGGAAATTATTGAATCGCTTTGCAGTGCCAGTTCATTCAAAAAATGCCCAGGAGAGTTCAAGAGAACTCTGCAGAATGCTCACGTTTCAAAAACTCTGTGAAGATGGGATACTTAATTTAGTGTCTAGTGGCTTGTAACTGCTTAGTTTGTGGTTGGTACGAAGTTGTCTATTAGCAAAGGCACCCTGGGCGGTTAAGTCAGACACGTAAGTAAATACCTTATCAGCACACAGCCTTTGAAAAGTGGACATTCTGAAGCGTTCTCTTACAACTTTCCTGGACGTCCTTTGAACAATAAGCAGCAATGAACAAATACTGCGAAGCGGCTCCGTAATTTGCGCAGGCACCTTCATTTTCAATCATATCACTAGAAAGGTCGCTACTCACATGCTTCATCAGTAGTATACACCGTTATACCCGCATCCACATACATTGCCAGTACTCTGGAGGTTTATATCGAAATTATTATGGCGAGCTACTAGTAGCTAGAAAATTCTGGCATTACCACTTCTCGGCATCTTTAGGCGTCCCAAATCATTGTCACTTCCTTGCCCATACAACTAATCGACCTGCAGACATCATTCATTCTCGTAGAGCAAATATATTAAGGGCCAAACGATTCGGCAGAAATAAACCATGCCGGTTGAAACAAAAGATTATGTTTTAGTCCAAACCGATTGGTGCTGCGAGAAAATCCTGTCTTGTTAGATGAGTGGTCGCAGATTCCACTGACAAATTCCCTATCTCGTTAGATTGGTTTAAACACCCATAATACTGTTTTAAAATGCATACAAATTAAATGAAACGAGTAGGTCTGGAGAACGACACATATATTTGTACGAATAAAATTCGTCCAAAATTTGGCACCAGCCGCCAGAAAATTCCGACCACTGATCCGAATCGCTGGAACGTTAGCCATAGTGATTTGCTTCACAGCTATTTTGCAACACAGGCCATTCTGTCAATATTCATCCTAGCTAGTGTTGATCAAAACTGCTTTCATCACGAGTGTGCTCCGTTATTTCACAGGTATGTTGCATCTGCGACGATAATTCGCTGTTCTTTCAGCAACATTGGGATTGTTGCCTGGTACGGGGTACTTGATGCACCAGCCCCTTTTGGAGACCTTATCCCACCAAAAAACTATGGCTAACGATCGATGAGTGTACTATGTTAGTTCTTTGAATGCTGCAAAGTAGACATCCGCGCGCGACCCTCTGCGGATCGGAGAAGATCGATTTGAACTAGAGATAATGGCAGGGAAAATAGTATCCATGATATGCAAGGCACAGCAAAGACTGACCGGCAGCGACAATATCTGCTGAACTTTCAAACCGATGACTGTGGCTCCCGAACACAACTGCTACGAATGCCAATAGATGACCTCCCTCATAGTGAGGCCGTTCCATCACCGTTGGATGGGATCGGACCACGAGGCCTGTGGACAAAGCCTCAATCAGTGAAGCGACGTTTCTCAAGTGTACGTTTTGGTGTCAGCCAGTCTGCATCGGACAACTAGATGGATTCTAGGTCTGTACGTGGTGTGTTCCTGTCATTACACCGAGATATCTTCAGCCAACGCATTACTCTTTATCTGCGCCCATCTTGTAGGGGATGTGTTTTCGGGTTCTGTTTCATGCATCGTACACGTTGAGGCGAAAAACAATTAGTTATTTATGGCCAAACAAATATAAGAAAGCTGTTCATCAACTGTACATAATACTCTTCAGCTACCAAAGGGTTTCTAGTGTCCTTATGAATGGTGCGTTCCGTTGAACAAATCCCACAACTGAAATTCAGTGGGTTTTCCAAAACAAAACCAAATGAATCCGCAAAAGGTGTTTCATTAGAACATAGCTCTGACGGAGATTAGAAGACCGCGACCCCTTCTGAACTTCACAGAGAGTGAAATCTGCTGCACACTATTGAAGAGTTTTCAGACATTTATTGAGTAGTCTGCTCGTAAAGGAAACACCATTTGGCCTTGAGTACTTATCTATTATAGGGGCCCGCACACATTCTACAGAGGTTTCAAGAACCACAGCCTCCGGGAGAGGATTTCTGATGAAAACTGATGACACAAGTCCTTGCAACGCCTTAGGGAAAACTGGAGATGCTTTTGTGAAGTGTGATGTGTCTTTTGACAGCCCAAAACTTTCACCCTGCGTGCGTTACTAATCATAGACATCGGAAATATTTAAAACGTGGATAATCTTCTTTGGTGTATCAAAAGCTGTGATAAGAATATCCTTAGGTGTTTTGTGGTTATTTAAAACCTAGATAATTAACTCGAATTCGTTTCGTGAAGGAACTGTTGAATTTATTCTCGACTTATTGTACGAATATGGAAAGACTTGCATGTTACCCGAGTTGCAGCTCAAACATGTCAAAAAGTTTGCCTTTGTTTTTTTTTCATTTTTCGTGGCGAATTGATTTGGACTGATTTACAACAAAATCATACAAAACTTGTCGAAATTTGTCCAGTAGGTTACAATCTTCCGTCGCGTCACGTGACTAAGAAGTTTCAACAGGCGGGTCAGTCAACCTACACAACCAGGATAATTACTGGTTGGTTGCCATTTGAAGCGTCGGACAAACCAACCACATCGCTGAAGGATGAACACGCTTGCCCGTTCAGATGTGACAATTCGGGTGTCTGGCGTGTGCTGATGGAACAAAGGTGACCATTTCAGCAACGTTATAAGTAGTCCACTTGGAATATACATGCATCGCGATATCTCGAATCTCGTAGCAACTGGAACATGTTTTCAGTTGCCTGAAAACAGTACAAACGAGAGATTCAGTTGGGTTCCAGGTGAGTCTCTCGCAAAACCAAATTCGTTTGCAAATGTGTATCTTGCTAACCTTTTTTCCTGTTTTATACTCTGCCAAAAACCATGTGCGTGTGCATCTGAATTGAGAACTATTTCATTTCGAATATTGACCAAAGTTCACGTTTATACATAATAGCATCAAAGTTTAACTCGATTATACCATCAACGATTACCGTGTTGACCATGAAAAAATATTTTAAAAATTTTCTGTGACAAACAAGTAATTTGGAACTCAGCATTACACCATAGCTCCAGTGCCTGCCGGGAAACCGACCAATACAAGATCAATTGAGTTCTCCTAATTGCGCTATAAACACCATTCATAAGTACCATTCACCTCTAGAGCAGTTACTGAGATTGATAAGGTTCAGCACGTTCATATACTACTATAAGTAGATGGCTAACACTTGCTTGTAAAGTTCCCCAATATGTCCCTAAGATTCAGAAGCAATCGAGATGTTGTTACCGTGACACATATTCAAGCCTAAGCTAAACCATATGGAAGTTTCCGACTTTAGTCTCCATGGTCAATTCTGTCGCCCCATTTTTATGGAACGTTTCGGCTGTTAAGGCGATGGATTTTCAGAAAACACTCGTACACTTAAAAACTAAATCCACGTCAATGATGTTGATGCAAAAAACTCTGGGTAAAACTCCCAAGAGGACTTCTACGAACGAATCCGTCCATCACATGCAGCTATCCTTCTAATGTCTCGATCACGACTTTATAGATGATTTTGTGAACGTTTGCTTGTGGTAAAACTCCCAAGAGGACTTCTACGAACTAATCCATCCATCACATGCAGCTATCCTTCGAATGTCCCGATCACGACTGTATAGATGATTTTGTGAAAATTTGCTTGTGTTGCAGATCCGCTGTGATGTAGCGACGCTGTTTCTAAAGATATGTCGAAAATCCTAGCACATAAATGAACGGCATTCACATACTAAAAAAACTCTGGACTGCCAATTATTCCAGGTTAGGATGAACCAGTGCTTTTCGGCATGGCCTCAATGGGAAAATTCTCAAGTTTCCCGTACTTATGGTTTGTTAATAGTTGGAAGAAATTTCATTTTTGGGTGGCATCAAATATGTGAATAAACTACTGAACACCTGCAACTGTGCGATAACACCGAGAGATTGTGAGTGGCCGAAATGGTGTTTAGACAAGCACACTATTTTTGTACAGATCGACTGGGTTGTGGCCGGCAACACGCTTGTCTCCGGAGGAGCTAGTCTAGTCCTGTTCAGGACAGGACTAGACAGAAAATGGCAAGTAGGAAGGCACGACCACTCCCCATAGGCGCGAAGGTCAAGTGGAAGGACCGAAAAGGGTTAATGGGACTCATCTTCGTGAGTGGCATGATACGCCTGAAGAGCGGCCGAGCAGACCCGTTGTCAAAGCTGTCCTGACGGAGGAAAATGAAAATCGGTGGCTTGCGAACGACCTTTAAAGGGGAAAAGGTGTGTAACGTTGGGTACTACTGATGGGGCATACGAGTAGTATGTTTTCTCGAAATTCGCTTCGCGTCTCATGAAAAGTGACATCTAACAAGGAATTTGTGGAGTCGCTTTGTAGCATTTGCTTGCATTTGAGCAACAGTCAATGAATATCCAGGAAGACGCGTCCAAAGCGAGGATGGATATTCAGTTTTGGTAAACAAGATGAATATGAGAGTTTTACTACCCTGTCCAATAGTCTGTAACTGTTCAGTCGATGTTTTCTAATAGAAAAACCGCCGCAGCGAAGGCCCTCTTCCTTTCATTTGCGAGAACACTGGGAGTCGCGAGTGGCCTGGTATCCTCTTGCATATAAACCGAAATGGTGTTTAGACGAGCCACTATTTTTGTACAGATTTTAGTTTGGGGTAGTGATATGAAAATTCTGGAAAGGCCTGGTAGCGAGCTTTGTCACCCGTCATCATTGATTGTGAACGTTTATCGGTACCTTCCCTTCTTGGTTGTTTTGAGCAGCACAAAGATTACCTTAGGTCTGATCTCAAACTCCCATGCATGGTTTCTTTCCAGAGGTGATTTGTTGTGCTCACGTAAGATGGATTGATGTGAATGGGTGAAGGAATAATTATGCCCTGCGGGAATAAAAGGGTGCTAATAGGGTGCTGAGGACATGTCTCTACAGAACAATCGATCTCTCACGGACAGTGAGGCATAATATGTTAACCGGACAACTTTATAAATTTCCCAGCTTGTTGTTGATCTTGTGACGCAAATCAAAGTTCATCGGGATGCCTGTCGATCACTTTTGGGCCTCAGTTGGCTTTGACGGTTAAAACTTATCTGAATCGCATAAAAATCCGAGATATCCTTAAAAAATGGTATGCAAACTTTACAACGGTTAGAATGATTGCGAGAAGCTGTACGAAGAACTTCTGAGCTTGAACTTTCGGACCTCTTTGGGGTAAGACAGAAAATGTAGGTGAGGAAGTCGCTTTGGCAATGTTTTCTTGTTTTCTTCGACCAATAGGGATTCGGTAGGCATCGTCAAGGACTAAGACTAGGAGAACTAATAGTACAAGATAGGGGGATCAGCGTAATACGGAAGAAAAAACATAAAAGTCGAGCACCAAAAGCTCTTAGAAGTGGGAAAATGGGATCTTGGGCAAAAAGTGGTTCCACAGAAGATTTTATCATGTGATTCCATCAGTAAAAGTATCTCAGCCCAGCTGTAGAGCACACTTGTGTGCATCGTTAAACTCTTGAGGTGAACAAACTCCGGATTGCTCAGAGCTTGTTTGGGTAACGGATATTGATTTTGGCTGAGCTCCTGCTTGTATCCAGTCACAGACTAAAATATACTACAACTATGGAATCTTGACAGTTTGCGTAGAATCTACTCAGAGTTAAATTTCAGTAGTCTAAATGACATAGATCAAATAAGAAACGGAACCAGGAAACCGATGTAGGTTCTACTTCGTTCACCAAATGAAACTGGACTAGTTACTGAACAGTGGGTCAATAAATAAACTGGTTCATCTCATTATACTCTTCACTACGTTAAATTCCCCGGTTGTCCAAAGAATTACAAATTCCCAGAGTACATTAGCGAGCGATTCAGCTGGGTTCATTTGCATATCGAATTGGTTTCACGAGAAACTCACTTGAAACTTAGCTGATTCTGTTTTCAAATGAATGTACTGCACGAAGGCCACCTATCGTTTCAGTTGGTGCAATATTTAGCATATACGATATGTATTGTATTTGTACATATAGTAAATTATGTATTTTATATATTAAATATAGTAAATATAGTATGTATACAGTATATCGTTACAAAAGAAGCTGCTCACAAGGTTGACAGCCTGAACCGGTTTCACCCCTCTTGGGGCTCATCAACTAGGCGAATTTCATACAACTTGGGTCCAAGTAGATCGTAAGTTTGAGAAAAACGTGGAGAATACACCTAACTGATGAGCACCAAGGAGAACAAAACCGGTTGTAAGCTATCGAAGAGTTTCCAGCAGCCTTGTGAATAATCAATAGTAAATTATGGGGTAGAGCAGACATCGACCGTAAGGTAACAACAAAACGGTCATGTCACAAGCAGATGAGTAATCACAACCTTTGATGTATCTACTCTTAAACTCGAACTTTTAGTTTCTATCGTATGATGAGTTTATTTTCTACAGCGACTGTCTGCTCGAGAGTAACGATGTGCTTACATGAATTTATCTAGCCTACGAAAAAGAAATCGAGTTTCGTTCTCATTAGAGCTCATCAGCAGTGCATATCCAGTGGCCGTGTCGGGACATCCGACATGCGAAGCGAGCGTGTAACCACTACTCCACCAACGCACGTTGGACCCATCTGAATTTTCACGTCTGAACAGGCGAACGTGTGCTGGTGTACCCGACTCATCGAACAACGACCCAGTAACTGTCCTGGTTGTGACGATCGATTGACCCACCAATCAGGACTTCCCGGTCAGGTGACGCGCTTGAAACCCACTGAGCAACTTTTGGTTGCGATTTTGGGGTTTTGCGGGATAGGTATTTTGTTCATAGTCACGCCACCCTCGTTTGAACAGTCGTCCTTCTGTTCTGGCGTAAGTGGATATGCACTGCTGATTGATGAGCTCTCTAATAAGAGCGAAACTTGAGTCCAGTGCTTCCCCCGTTTGGTGTGGACTCACCGGAATAATTACGCCAGAACAGGAAAACAACCGTTCAAACGAGAGTGGTGTGACTATGAGCAAAATGCGTATCCCGCAAACCCAAAAATTGCACAGCGCTAGATGTTCTGAAGAATTCTGCTTTAATCTGGATGGGTTTGAACACAGGGGTTTGTATAAGTTGGAATTTCGTAAAGCTTATAAAACCAGTAAATGTATGATTACTAAGGATGCCCATCTGAATTACGGTGACCCAGTGTGTCTTGACTTCTTTACCAATGTGCTTGCTAATTCATAATTTTTGAGGTGACCATCTCGGCGCATCTTTTGCCCAGTCTGTCATCGTAATTATATCAGAGCCTTCAGACTTCTATAGATGCACCCTGTATCCTTAAACATGCCTTAAAAGTACGTTTTATTTAACGTATTCTGTCCCAGAGAAACAGCAGAGTGGGTGTAAGAGGCAGGCGGATTCGTCAAGCATACAGCCGCAGTGCAGCGATTCACGCTTGTCCTCGCTTGTCCGTCACCATACTCTTGATGGATGACCTTGGAACTTTGTCGTGCTGCGTAAATGCAACCCAGTGTGAACGCGGACAACTTATGGCGTCGAAAACGTGGAAAGACGGAAAGAATGCGAAAATCAATCTTTCCAAACGATTGATACTGCAACACACGTGGCAAGTGCCCGAAAATTCATCGTATTTTCTGATAAACTGGTAGTTGGAAAGTATGCTTGTTCTTTGACTGTTATACTATGAATACGCACTAGGGTTTGCCTTAGTCTAAAGTCAACCTCGGGATTCCAATTTGAAACTAATCACCAATCAATATAGTGTTGTTGCTGCTTTTCACGTCCGAAGAGGAACGTCTTTATCGTAGTTTACTCTTCATTTTCGTCCGTTTAAATGTTTCGAATATGTGGACCAAAACCTCGTGTAAGGCCTAGCTATCTCAGGAGTTGGAAGGCAGAGTCAAACAGAAGCAATACCGTCCGTATAAAAGAAACCACAATCACAACCGTCAGTGCAATAAGTACGCCAACAAAGTACAGTGTCACTAAAGTATGCACGAAGATCTGCCCACATGCTAGGAAAAACCTGTTGTTGGAAATTGTTTCGCAAAAACCGGGCTTTTGTTTTGGGATCATCATGACTTCCGCTAGGTTACACATGAACTTAGTACTGAGTAGAGCTCAGTCTCATGAGCTTTGAACACGAAGCGTGATTGAACTATCAGCCTCTCACTGTCGGACTAAAGTAGTTACGAAGCAGCAAGAAATGTGATATTTTCCAGCATCCTTTAAAGTTTAAGCGATTCTGATTAGCAAAAGATGAGCACTCTGATGCGCACAAATGTAGTGTGTACAACGGCATCTCAATGGCATAGGTAGGTTCCTTTCATCTTGAGGTATTTGACGGTTTACTCATGGTTACTGGGTCAATGCATACATGCAGACTTTTGCGATTAAACGTCAGAGTCCGTGGTCATATCGCAAAGCACGAAAGGCACGTGCGAAATGCTATTGTGATCAAAACGAGTTCGGTAAGGAGCCTACTAATTTGCTAGACCATAGAACGCCACCAAAGCTGTGAGCGATTATTTCAACGAGGATAACTACCTTCATAGTCTCATCTCTCTTTGATGAACCGGACGTTCTGGATGAGGTGTAAGGCTTAACTATGAACTAAAAAATCCAGTGTCATTGTGGAGACAACTTTGTGGGGAGTGTGTTTTGTGCAGCCCCACTGTCTAATTCAAAATTAAATATTGACAATGTAGACTACATTTGAGAAACACCACCTCGGTAACTTGAACATCGGGGCGAGCTGGCCAAAGTGGTTAGAGCGCGACTTTATTGACCAGAAGGTCCGTGGTTCGAGCCCGACCTCTGCCTCTCAACTTCCCCTGTCTAGTCTTGGGCAACCTGGCAGTATCCCAGCCCTCGTGCAACCTTCGGGTGGCATGGCAGAACTTAAACGTCTGTCGCCATCCCCCCCATCTGGAAAACTTTACAACCATGAGTTAGCCATGGTGACTCAAACTACTCAAGACTCTTTCTTCTTTGTTTGATGGTAGTCTAGCAGCACCCAAAGTCCTCTGGACCGAAAAGACTCAACCTGTGCTCGGAAGTATATCTCATACCCTCCATTTCACGCCTCCACCGCTTTCTTTCTAATTTGTTTTAAGCAGACTGAGTTCGAAAAGCACCCGTCTTCAGGCTCGCAAGTGCTAAATCAGTGAAGGACTCAGGTCCTCGGTGGAATAGGTCGATGATTCTACTGGAAATAAGCATTTTGTTCAGTTTTCAGGCAGTGACGGTCTGAATAGATGTGGATGCCTTTTACATGCATATCCTGATTGCTCTGGGTGCATCTGAGCACCATAAACTACCATTTTCAATGTGTTTTATGGCCCTAATCCACCTTTGTATACCAAAGTGTTGTCTTCTTCGATCCCCAACAGTGGTTGGACACAAGGATTTCTTCCATTAGTAGTGCTAAACTTTTGGTAGCTCAAATGAGCTTACTGGCTGTTGATCTGTTCGCGGAGCTTGGCAGTTTCATCACCAAGCGAGGAAACATCATCAGTGTGCTCGACGAACGCCATGGAATACATTCCACCTCACGAAATCTCATGAATTTGATCTGATCGTAACGGAGGTTGGCATACCGAGAGACGGAGATCCTTCGCACTAAACCATAATATTTCATGTACGGTTAGTAAACACCTAGACATGAACAGATCCGTTTAAAGTCTGGAACTCCTATGTCCAGAAGGAGGCGAAGTTAGCCAGTGTGTGGTTTAGGTTCTACCATACTACTTACAGACAACCTAGTAATTAGCCATCCCAAATGGCGAATATCCCATTAACTGAAAAAGAAGGCGACCTTCGTCTGGAACAGTCAGCCGAATGCCATCATCGGCCTGTGATCCAACTGATTTCTAGTTGAGCCACTTAATAGCCCAAGGGTTACTCGCAAATGGGCGTGTAGCTCCATTCTGCGTCGTTTCTGTTCCTAGCATGTAAAACAGGTATGCTGCCAGGGGATACCTCATTTTTTATATCTGAATTAGCAAAAACTGTGATAACCATGAAAGCAGGGGTTGGTTTCCGTGTCTTACTTTACCGTAGCCTACATTAACGCAAGACTGTGTGTGGAGTTATCCAAAGGTAACGAAATTTGGTTTCTCCATATAACAGATTTGTGCAATCGGAAAAAATTAAACATATTCATTCCAGTCTGAAGCTGCTCGTACTTACTTTTCAGTTAGTTATATTCCTTTGCCGTACTGCCGAGCGCATCCACCAGACTAAGGATGGTGGAATATGTGCGGTTTAGGGTGGTAGAATGTGCTTATCTCTGATTGTTCCTTACCAAGTATTGATCGAAATCACGTGCTTAGCGTGCATTGCTGGTGCGCAGTGTGTTCTGTGTGTGATAGTGGAGTTGGTGATAGTGATGAGTCTAGGTCACCAACAAAGCGGTGCAGAATGGTGTATCGTTCGCCTCCGCAATTCTGATTGTATAGTTATTTAAACGGAGAGCAGGCCATTTTTTTCAGCTGACCGAATGAGATGTCGTCGGAGAACTCCAATGGCTGCGGAGAAAAGTGTGCGCCCAATGTGCAATGGCACATGTTTAGTGTCGAAGAATATGCAAAATGGCACGAAAAAATTAAAGTGAGGTGGTACAAATGGCCTTGGCTCCATCGCTCCATGATTTGCGGTTGTCAGTTCAAACTTGGGGTAGGAATACATCCGAGGCTGTGGTATCAGCGTTGTCAAAGCATGAGGCGTTTCCCTCTCGACGATCCTCAGAGGTAGGACGAAGGGATCATGGGTTTGGTTTACTTCGTTTGAATACTCAATGCAAATCCGCTTGTAAATACTTGTCGCCTATGGTCAGAACAGTGAGTAGTAAATCGGGATTTCTCGTTGTTTGACTCGGTCACACTCTTAAACTACATTACTAGTTAAGTTTATGGAGCAGAAGTGGTCTGATTAATCGGAAAAAATTAAACATATTCATTCCAGTCTGAAGCTGCTCGTACTTACTTTTCAGTTAGTTATATTCCTTTGCCGTACTGCCGAGCGCATCCACCAGACTAAGGATGGTGGAATATGTGCGGTTTAGGGTGGTAGAATGTGCTTATCTCTGATTGTTCCTTACCAAGTATTGATCGAAATCACGTGCTTAGCGTGCATTGCTGGTGCGCAGTGTGTTCTGTGTGTGATAGTGGAGTTGGTGATAGTGATGAGTCTAGGTCACCAACAAAGCGGTGCAGAATGGTGTATCGTTCGCCTCCGCAATTCTGATTGTATAGTTATTTAAACGGAGAGCAGGCCATTTTTTTCAGCTGACCGAATGAGATGTCGTCGGAGAACTCCAATGGCTGCGGAGAAAAGTGTGCGCCCAATGTGCAATGGCACGTGTTTAGTGTCGAAGAATATGCAAAATGGTACGAAAAAATGAAAGCGAGGTGGTACAGATGGCCTTGGCTCCATCGCTCCATGATTTGCGGTTGTCAGTTCAAACTTGGGGTAGGAATACATCCGAGGCTGTGGTATCAGCGTTGTCAAAGCATGAGGCGTTTCCCTCTCGACGATCCTCAGAGGTAGGACGAAGGGATCATGGGTTTGGTTTACTTCGTTTGAATACTCAATGCAAATCCGCTTATAAATACTTGTCGCCTATGGTCAGAACAGTGGGTAGTAAATCGGGATTTCTCGTTGTTTGACTCGGTCACACTCTTAAACTACATTGCTAGTTAAGTTTATGGAGCAGAAGTGAATGGTCTGATTGTTTTTGAAGTCACCTGACTTGTGGGCAGTGTGCCTGCTTATTTTTTCCAAGGACATGAACCAGTGTACGAGTGTGTGTTTCGGCGATGTTTGAATTCACTGAGCGTCACTGTCAGAATATAATCAATTAATCAATGCGATAAGGTTGTACAGTGCAGATGTTCCCGAGATGTACGCCTTGCTTACCGTTGAAGAGTGCCGAAATTGCACTACCACTGTAGAGAAGAAAGCTGATCGCCACGGAGTTGTTTAACAGCAAACCCCAACCAAACAGTTACAAACTAATGGACAGAAACGTAAACGTTTCATATGAAGCTTGCTTTTGAAAACTAAACATCCTCTTGCGTATTCTTGAACTTTCGTGGATATCCATTGACTATCACGCAGTGGTAACCGAGCGGTGCACAGCAGTTCCACAAGTTCTGTAGTAAACCCCACCTACCATTAGACGCGAGACGGAATTACGAGGAAACTACATACTACTCGCATGCTTCATCAGTAGTATTCGTCCTCACATCAGTACGACAGTTATCAGTATGATGTTTTTGCTTTCAGTCCCAGTTCACATTTGGCTGCACACTTCAATCCAAACAAGAAATATTCAAACTTTTAGTCTCCCATTCTTGAAAGATGGCAAACAAGTAGTGAAAATGAAAGGTGGAGTAATGTGAAGCATCAAAAGACAAGTCGTTAAGATCAACCTCAGGACCACAAAGATAGTGGAATAATGGACTCTTGACTTCATGTAGTATAGTTTATGAGTCTGAAACCTATGATGTCATCAGGAAAACCACAAGATTCTCTGAAAAAAGACAGCCACTACAAGAATCTGGGTACACAGAATTTCCGGTCGAATTTATCAGATACACAATGAGACAGCCAGACATTTCAATAACGGGATACAAGATTCATAACGGATGCCCATCTCCAGATCCAACAGAAAGAAAGAACTCTACTTGGGCAGAACCATCATAATAAATTCGTTGTTATACACTTTCTTGAATCAGACCTCAACTTATATCAGGGCCGTGTATTGAAATCTTAGAAAGCTACGCGCACTCATCGATGGGACGAATGTTCCACCCAACTGGATTGCCCTAATATTGTGACTTGGTGAAGACTTCCCCAAAGGTCGTTTTCATAATTGGTATGTGTTGCGTCTTGCTGAATGATCCCTTAGCTTCCTGCTCCGCCCACTATGGTATATCAAGATGCACGGTAGCTCTAGACAGCCCTTTAGGGAGACAAAGGACAGTTAATTCAACTGTATTTGTAGGGTTATCACAGAATGTTCCACAAGGTCGTGCCAGAATCTCGGTGAGGGTGCTATAAGCGTCAAGTCAAATATGCTCGATCCGGATTGGCTAGCATTCTGACCAGTCAGAGCATGCCTTCGTTTGTTCCGTGTCCTGCACGTGACATCCGTCCAAATGATGTAATGTTCAGTTAGTAGGGCCGGCTGGCCTCCGTACACCTAACTACGTAGCTATCCAGATACTGTAGTCATGCCCAAGGGTGGAATCCGGAGATCATCCATACGGGACCTCAGAGGACCTACACATCCACCCACTGAACTCATCGCAATCTACCACCTGACAAGCAGACACGTGTTAGACATTGGATCTTAGGTAGGGGTCAAATCAACTCACTCTTCAACGCTAATTCGACATGCAGCCAAAGCTTTTCCACGATTTCCGGATCAAATTCTATCTGGATTGCCAGGATCAAATGTCTTTGTGAGATAACTCCCTCAAAGTTGGACAGTTTCTGCCAGGACCATTATTCACATAAAACGCTGTTGAACGAAAGACCTGAATGATTCTCTTTCTCATGTCTCACGTCACCTAGATTAATTTCGCTGCGCGTGAAAAACAGATTGATTTGCTAATGAGTGTATTTCTCGAAAACAGTCCAATTTGGGTCCAAGTAGAACTCGGGAACCGCGCCTGTTTGATGAGCCCCAAGAAGGGCGAAACCGGTCGTGGGCTGTCGAAGAGTTTTCAGCAACTTTTTGAGTAGTTTCCTTTATGAAAATGTATAGCGATATCTCAAATATCGTGCCAACTGAATCATGAGGCGGCCTGTGTGCAGCACATTCAGGTGTAGGATCTCATAAACGAGAGATTCAGTTGAGTTTCTTGTGAAAACCAAATTGATTTGCAAGTGAGTGTATTTATCGAAAACCAACATTGGCTTTCTCTGCCTTCAACCCAAACCTGAGTCACGTGCGCCTGGCAGCCAATATCCCGAAGCATACCATTCCTTGAAACATTCACTTGCAAAAAACCCCAGCGGGATCGTAACCTGGTGGTCAGTGTGTCTTTCATAAATAGATTGACTGCTACATCTGGGAACTCCGGACAGCTATTCCATCTTAGTCGGGCGATTAGGTCTGAGGTCTGAGGTTGGTAATTCATCACCTCGGAGGGAATCTTCAATGACTTGAAGTGCGCAGCTTTAAATGTGGCTGAAGGGGTCGCTCCCCTCCCTGAATAATTTCAGGTGACCTTAGAACCATGAAAATTTCCCTTGATATATGCAACAGTCGGTTTGATGTGAGTCATATTTCGATTATACCTGACTGACCGTAGTCTGCCGCTGTTTTCCAACACGTCTTTAGACGCATTATGCTCATAGCTAGAAAGCCAAATTAGTTCCGGGTCAAACGTGACGAATCGTAAAATATCAAATTTCTACCCTCCCTGAGGTATTACCAAATCACAACTCTTGTCGTGAGCCAAGAGTGTCAGAGTCTCGCCGTGTCACGCTGAACTGAGAGCCTAATTGAAATATCTGGTTTAAACTGAAGCTTCCCGCCGATATTCTTGAAAAATCCAGAAGTTAAATCGCCCAACCGCTTGACATATCGCTTGCTGCAGCCGCCCTTTGCTCAGAGAATGAGACTTACGAGAGGCATAGTGTCAGAAACACCAGGATTCCAAATCTACTTGACTACCCAAGTTTTCGGCGGTGTCATGAAAATAGCTTCGATCTGGGAGATCTCCGTCAACTTTTTCAGTTTATCAAGTATTTTCGGTGCGTTCAATGAAATAGGGCTGCAGTATCCCGCAATCGAAGTCAGCTCACACTTCGTTCCCAGCAGAAGCCTTATCCCCGTCTTCGACTTCACTCTATAACCACAATTTTGCTACATGACGGTCACGAAAGCATAAAAAACAACACAGACAGTAAATTACATAGCTGAAACTGAAAAGTGTGGATCCTTGGGCAGTGTTGTCCTGACTAGTTATGTAACTTCCGTAAGTACTGCGCTATGCGGACTCAGTATACATTGTTCCCAACCGTCGATACTGGATGCCGCCAGCCTCCTGGTGGTGTGGAAGACGCTTGCTAACCATGCCATACTGATCGATCATAAACAGGTCACTGTTTGCCAAGCCTCCCTACTTTGCTAATCAAAACAGAGATTCCCCCTGTTACAAACAAGGTGAGACCAATGGTCAAAGCGTTTTTTTCCAGAGTGATTTACTTCAATGTCAAGCAAGCAGTAAACGGGCGTCCGTCATTATCTTCGTTTCAGCCACACAGACAATGAAGTCTTATCGAAAACGGTTACAAAGGGTTTCATGAATGTCGAACCCAAAATTGTGCGACTATGGCCTGTTCCGGCGACAAATCTGAATGAGCTGAAACACCTCGTGGTTGCTTCTTGTCTAGTCTGTATGAATAGAAAAGATTTCAGTTAATATTTATTTTTCGAGAGAGCAAGAAAGTGAATAACGACCAACTAAACGTAAAACTACGCGACAGGTGAGTGTAAAGATGCGCGTCGTCAGAGGGTGCACCCACATGAGGTGAACAGCCTTTTATCAGAGACAGCCGTATGTTTGAAATTACGTGACTCGAGCCACAGCTCTAAAATGGTCTCGGTTTTGCCTATATGTCGTACTGGACGCAACTTCGGCCTTGATCGACTGGCATCTGGAGAATGCGTGCCACATTGATCAGCGCGCTCTCTACTCAGCAAACGGCCAGTAGCTCTCTCATCTGGATAATACTATCAGGAAGGTCAGATTCCTGAAACTAACCTCAGAACGCCCGAAACCTACGGCTCCACCAAAATCTCAACAGGAAAGCCAGCAAGCATCCAGGCCAATTCAGGTCAATTCAGCAACAGCTGAAGAGTGTTCAGCAGCACGACCGAGTGTGATCAGCGTTCAGGCACTTCATAAAAGCACGATCGATGTTGATGGATGTTCACTAACGCCTATCAGACAGCCTGGAT